ACACTCCTACTGGATCTGTTCCTTGGACCACGCTTCATACCAAGATGCTGAGGAAAGCTTAGTTCCAATAAAATCTTTCAGAGTCATGCAGGGAAGGCTGTATCTCATGAAATGCCGAGAGCCCACTAGATCAGACATAGATCAGACAAGACTGCCAAGGCCAAGGGGAAGTGAAAATCTCATTATTTCTCCTAATAATTTCCCTGTCCCTTGTCATGGGTTATGGGCTGCTTTGGTGGGGGCAGCTTTTCTTTCCTGAATGGGACATGTGAACAGAAGGAAGAAGCAAATTGCTGGAGTCCAGAGAGGGAAATTTTAGAAGAACTTTGGAGAAAAGGGAGATCAAGAGACGAGTTAGCTGGCACAGAATAGGAATTTTGAGGGGAAGAGCATAGATATCTAAAGGATAACTATTAATTTTCCACAGAATGATTTGGATATTAAGCCTCTTTCTTGCCTCATCTATTTCTCATTAAATCATTATGGAGCCAGGTCTGTTTCAGACACGTGTCAAAGAACAGAACATGGTCCTAGGGAGGAGAAGGGGTGAAAACCAAGGCCACGCGTGGGAAGTGTGTGACACTCAGGTGACAGATTTTTCTTATCAGAGTTAAGGTCATAAAGTTAAATCTTAATTTAATGAAATATTTCTGCAGGAAACTAAAATAATACAGCCCAGGCCCACTGTGCTCTCATGAACAAATCCAGAACAATGGATAATTCTGTGTCCCTGGGACTGTCGATTTCATGAAGGCTGGTATTCTGGGTTATGGGAGAAAGGGGTTATTTGATTTAATCTGGAGCACAACTGTGTGAGGAAGATAATGGTGTCCCCATTTCATAAATAAGTCTGAAATTCTGAGAGGCAAATGACTTGCAGGGTCACACCATAGAGGTGGAGGCAGGATTCTAGCTGGGTGGGGGTGACTCCCCAACCCACGCCCTTCCATCTTTCCCCAGCCAGGGTGCTGGGAGCAGAGCTGAGCTCCTGTGGTGAAATCTCAGTGCTGGGTTCCTGTCTGAATATAAGTGAAGGACCCTTTTAGATTAGGTTTCTGATCTCAGGAGAAGGCCTCAAACCTGCATCTACTCCAGCCCTTGCATAGGATCCAGAGTCCTACACCAAAAAGCATGAAAGGCAAGATTTGGGGCGGGGGCAGAGCGGGAATCTACATTTAAGGTTCAGTTCACAAAGCAATTTCATACCTGACTCAGTCATTGCAATATCCCTGTGACACAAACAAGGCATATTTCATTCTTATGTTACATGCAAGGAAACAGGAAACCAAGTCTCGAGGAGGTTAAATCCAAGGTCTTATGAAATTTGTCTTATGAATCTTTATTTCTTTATGAATCTTATGAATCTTTATTTAAGGGGTGTAGCATGACATAATTCCTAAGATCACATGGTAGCCTTAGGACTTAAACACAGAACTGTGTTTTTAAATCTATACGCATCTCACTCCCAAGATGTAGCCTCTACTTGGGTTCTTTGATCCTGATGTCTTAGTTGAATAAGCCCTTGCAATCAGGGCTGCCATGTGAGTCTGTGCAGGTTGTGCACTGTACAACTCTGAGGTATGTATCCTGAGCTACATGAGTGTGAATAGCACATCCTAGAGTTATAATGTACAACATGGAGAATATTTTGCAACAGCCCTTCTTGTAATGCAGAATCTGAGATGGCTTTGTGAAAGGAGAATGTAATTGTTACCAAAAAGTCATTCTCATAAATGTGTGAATTTGTGTGAAAGCTGTGTTGGCCATGGGGCAAGGAGGTATTTCCAACCAGTTTTTACACAGGACCCTATTCTCTTATAAGAATTCAGCCCTTGACGTGAGATGAGTATCTTTTCAGGTCATCACATGCCATGGAGAGAGAGGGTTTGCTGCAACTTACATCAATAGCACACTGTACGCTCTTTCTGATTTATTTGAAAAACATTTATTGAGTGTCCAGTAACGACTAGATACTCCAGTGATGTGGCACAATCTCTGCCATTAAGGAGGGTAGATTTCAATTGGGGATAAAACATATATGTAATAATTTTTAAAATAGTATACTAGGTAACATTTAAAAAAACCAAACTGTATTGAAGTACAAAGTTGCAGGTTACAGACTAGCCTTGCAGTAGGAGCCCAGGAAGGGGAGATTGTCATGGGCTGGACTAGTTAAGGACTAGTTATGAAAGAAGTGGTGAGGGTGGGGGATGCCTGAATGAGTCTTAAAGAATAGCTAGAATCTAGGTAGATGGATAAGAGGATTAGGGGTGGGAAAGGAGGAGCATTTCAGCATGAGCCAATGTTGCCTGCAGCCAGCATTCTGGTGATGGTGTTTCTTTATTAACAATGTAGTGGCCGTAAAAGAAACATTGAATTCAAGAAACCTGGGTGGGCCTAATAAAAAGCGACAGCAAAATCCAGAGATACTGAGCAGGCTATCTCTCTCTTCTCTCCTTTTGTTTGGTGCTCATTAGATGCCATGTGTGGAAGTCAGTCAACTGAGACGGGGAGATGGCTGAAGAGGGTAAGGAGGCTGGAGGCAGTTAAATAGGATGGCCTCCATTTATAGAAGGTGGGGCTACAGGGCAAATAGGACTTTTCCTATTTGGGGCAGAATCCCATTACTTTGCTGGAACTGGAAAGCCCGAATAACATCAATTTTATGAACTTTCTATAAGAATGTGCCCCCACAGTATACTGGAGGTGAAGTGTGATCTGCAACAAAACTGAGCCTGTAATTGCATGTCTCAAATTGTCACTGTCTTTAAAGTCATCAGGTTCAGCATTGAATTGAAACTGCAAACGAGTCAAGAAGGAGAGCAAATTCTGACATCTTTATATTCCACAGTAATCCTTTTCCCCATGGTCTTGTTTTCCATGGGAAAGAGAACAAAAGACTGAGCTATATAAACCATAACTGCAGGCTGGGGGTGGGGGCAGAAGAGGAGCAAAACGGGAGCAGAAGGAGCTGCCGGTGACGGAAATCTCTTCACACGCACTGAAAGAAGCGTGCTTCATCTCCAATGTGGGAGACGCCATGCAAAACTTGTCATGGAGGGATTTGAAGGATCCAGTGACACTTTAGTATCTCAAGAATTTTCTTTCACAGAGGGTGTTTAATACGCACCTTCCATCCTGAATGAAAAACAAGAGAATATAAATTAAACTAAGGAGCTTAAAAATTGCAAAAATTAAAATGTTAGTACTAAAGGTAAATATTCACTAAAGGTAAGATGAGGCGTAAAGGAAATATCTTGCAGATGATTGGGCAAGATGCAAGGCATTCACTAGGGCAAAGGAAGGAGAAGAGAACTCCAAAGTGGCGCTTCTCACACCCTCAGCTGCTTCCTACCCAGAGATGGTGTTTAAATGCGGACTTGGAATCAGCCGGTCTGGGTGGGCCTGAGATTCTGCACCTGCTGCTCACGCTGCTGGTCCACTCCTAGAGAAATTCCTGTGCTACAGGCTTTGGCTTTAGATCTAATGAGTATGAGGAACAGTTGAGATAGATTTCGAGCAGTAGAAAATAGAAGAAGGCGTGCTCAAACGGAGAGAAAAATCAGAGAAAATCAAGACTCATAAAAGGCCTGGTGATGGTTCTAAATGGCTCCTTCTGGTGAGATAATGATTTGAGAAGATGGTCACACATTTCTGTGTGTGACACAGTTGTCTCATTCTTGGAAAAGGTGGGGGAGAACCAAATATGGTATATCTTAATAGCACCTTTCAAAGGGAGAACCAGATTCCGAGATCTGTTCTCATGGTGAACTGCCAGGTTAACCACAGCTCAGCAGCTGCAAACATGCTGCCCAATACTGAGATAAAAATGTTTCTGAAAACAAAAGTTCACGTATACCCTCTTCTGAGGTTGGCATCGTATCTTCCTGTGTATCTTGGGTGTAGCTTTTACCCAGGCAGAATTTAGACAGTAGAAACCAAATGAGGTGATAAACAGAACCAGTTTGCAGAAGAGTCAAAATAACCCAGAAAGAATTGAAACCACAAATGCCCTGTTGGTCATTCACCAACCCAAAGTTAATAAGAATGAGCTCAAGGGCTTTAAAAAAAAAATTGATACACAGTGTTTAGTGTGATGGTGTTCATTTTACCTTTGGCTGGTTCTAGAAACACACCCTACCTCTTCCACCCCACCCTTCCTCAGTGCCATCACACAATGGTTTCAGTGTGAAAAAAAAATCACGTTATTGGAGGGGGAGGGTGTCCGAGAGTAAAACTCCAACCTGGGAATCAAGAGTCCCAAGCTCTAGAAGCATAATGGTTAAAAGCATGACCTTTGGATCCAGATGGGTACAAATCTCAGCTTTGCCATTTATTCAGGGACCTCTGGCTACCTATTTTATTTCTCTGTGCCTCTGTTCCTTTACCTGTAAGACGAGGATGTTAATGGTGCTTGCCCCCACAGGCTAGTAGGCAATATTTAATGATTTAAGACATGTAAAACACTCAGAACTGTGCACAGCACGGAGTTAATGTTTGATAATGTTTACTGTTATTGTAGCCAACTCTGTCACTGGCTCAGGGCCTATGGGAAAGTTATTTAATCAGCTCGGTTATAAGACAATTTGAACACAATGTCCACCAGGATCCTTTCCAGACCTAAAATTCTCTGATTCTGTGAATTCAAGTCACTTTGGTCAATAAACGAGAGGTGTCCTAAGGCAGCTGGGCAGAGGATTCTTCTTTGCTAGGTCCTTCTAGCAATCTGGTGAAGTATTCAAGATCTATATTGACGGTGCCCGCCTTCCCTTCCAACTTGCGTTCACAACTCCTCAATAAACCATGGGCTCCAGGCCATTTCCCCCCTGACTGCTGCATGTGCTATCACAGTCCCAGTACCACACCATTGCTTACACCATCTCCGTCCTCTAGGCTGCCTTCCCCGCTTCTCTGCACATACCTAAGTCCTACCCATTCTTCAAAGACCAGCCAGGTTCCACCTTTATAAAATGTTTTTGTGATCATTGACCTTCTTCCACATTGAAGTCTTTTCTTTAATACAGAATTCATCCACCATTACCATTCTCTGCCTTGTATTTTTTCTGAAATTTTTTTTCTATGTTTCTGTCTTAACTCCTCAACTAGACTATTATATTACTATAATAATAGTCAGGGTCAAGGACATACTCATCTTGGTGTCTCAGTCAAGCTTAGCATTGTTCCAACACAAAGGTGTTTAATAAACAACTATTGATTTCGGCGGAGTCAAGATGGCGGCGTAGGCAGACTCTGAACTCACCTCCTCCCGTGGACACAGCCAATTTACAACTACTCGTGGAAAAATTACCCCTGAGACAGAACTGAAAACTGGATAAGAGGAACTCCTGCAACAACGGACAATCCTAACTGGGGTAGAAGAGGCAGAGACTCCCTTCTGGAG